TTTATTTCTAACCTCCTGAAAGGTTAATCAAAGATGAAGAGCCAATATATGTATCAAGTTTGTTTTCTAAATCATATACAAAACTAGCATTAGCAGTTTCTATTGATTTTTTGATCTCATCTTAGCTGGCATCTTTATTACCTAATAAAATATTGTCTCTAATAGTTCCTAGGATCAGAACAGGTTCTTACTACACATAACCGATAGATTCGCGCAAGCTTTCCAAAGTGATATCTTAAAGGTCTACCTGACCGAATTTTATGGATCCTTGCTAAGGATCATAAAATCTCTCAATTAGTTGTATTATAGTGCTTTTACCAGACCCTGAAGCTCCCACTATTGCAGTGGTTGTATTAGACTTTATCTCAAAATTGATTTGTTCAAGGATGTTTTCTTTGGCATTAGGATACTTGAACGAAACATTTACAAATTCAATTTGGTCAAAGTTTTATAATTTAGCGAAGCTATTTTTGCCATTTTTAATCTAAGGTTATCTATTAATAATTTAGAATATTTCTTCACCTGATTGTATAGCCTTAAAAACAGCAGAAATATTAGGGATCATTTAAAATGCTGTTGAAGTGCAATTCAAAATGATAAAAAGAATTGAGATTAGTTCTGATGAAGTGTAGGGTCTTCCAGTGCTTGGATTATATTTTCCTTGATCAAGGTACAGAGTTGCCATCCAAAAGTTAAATCCATAACTTCCATATATTGCCAGTTTTAAGATACCAATAAATGCAGCAGTAAAATATTCAGATTTTATAGCAGAAGCTTTAGCATCCCCAGCTTTAATTTTAAAGTCTATTATCTCACTGTCCTCTTGAGCAAAGGAAGATATAGTTTTAATACTCTGTAAACTTTCTTCTATTTTACCGCCCACCATTTTTGATTTCTCAGTTGAAACATTGGTAGATTTTTTTACCTACCCACCAATAATTATAATGATGACGATTGCTAATGGAAATACAGTTAAGCAGATTAGAGCCATATCAGCACCCTTGATTAAAGCCGGAATTTATTCAATTTTTATTTCATCAC